CAAACTGGAACCCGTTTCCACAGGAGAAGAATCTTAACAGAGCTTTGAGTCACTGATGTGTGGGAGGTGGTTGAGGAGGAATCTGTCCATCTGGTTGCTGAGGAGATAATGAATGAGGGGGCGGGCGGTAACGAAGCAGGAAGACCAGAGGGAGGCCAAACTGGACGGCCAGCTAACGGGGGGGGGGGGGGAAACAATAACCAAAAACGGGGGGAAGGAGAAAAAAAAAAGAAAAGCCAAACAGAGAAATGGTCCAAATAGGGTCGTCACGATACGAAAATGTTCAACTCGATACCGATACTCAGGAAAATATTCAATACTCGATACCACAAGGATAAAAACAAAAAACCCAAAATTTAACTGAATTTTGACAGGTTAGTGTCTTTGGTTTCAAACTGACCTATTACTGATATTATTAATGACCCTCACCCTAACCCTGACCCTAACCCTAACCCTATCCCTGACCCTAACCCTAACTGTCCACCCTTCATAATTGTGAGAAATAAATATTTTTTGGGTTAAACTTGTTTGGACTTATTGTACAAACCTATTTAACTTCCACTATTTTAACATAATATTATGGATAGAGTTTAATTCAGTGTTTGCAAGATTCATTTCACTATTTTTAAATGAATGTCTATAATGCCATGAAGCAATTAGTATTTCTTGCCTGGGATCTTCCTATTGGTGACCTAATCAAAATGGCCGACTTGGATGTGGGGGGGTTGGATATCCATCCTTGGCTTCCTGCAGTCTGCAGCCAGATGGACTTGATTAATGGTAGCGTGTTGTTATTAGCCATTAGCCGCAGCTAGCAATTCAAGGCTAACGTCACGTTAATTATCATAAACAACGTAAATAAATAAATCGGGGGGGGTATTGATACTTTTGAAACTGAGTATCGTATCCGGATACAACCATAAGATGTGTTAAAACTCAATGATTCTTTAATGAATTGGTCCTTAAAAAAATAGTTTTGGTCCTCCTGCCAACATTTTTCCACCTGAGTCCCAGAAGAGATAAATTTTCTCACTTAAACTGATCCAAGTTTTTGAAAACCCAGGGTCCAGATGGGCCTCTGTAGGTCATGTAGAGCAGTGTTTTTCAACCACTGTTGAGTGATGGTCAGGTGTGCCATAGAAAATCTTCCTATTTCACCTAATTGGTCTAAAAAAAAT